CAGCCTGATTCCGGGGAGCTTCCCCAGTTTGGGCCCTGCTTCTGGGGCCCTCGCCTGTGTGAGACCGACTTCGGGCACCTTCCGCGGTGTGGGATCGGCTCCTGTTCCCTTCCATGGATGTGACACTGGAGCCGGAAGCTGTGCGGGATCTCATTAGTCTGGTCATGCTTGCGGAAGGCACTGTCAACGGGAAAACTCGACGTTAGGAGGAGATACATTCATTTGCAATGACCATTATTTAAAAATGGAGGAGGGTGTGTGTGTCTGTGTTGCATGCAGTTTTTTCAGCCAAGAACCAAATTAGGCCACAGATCAAAGCGTGAGTAAGATCAGGATAAGAAATACATTGCTTTATTTATTTATTAACTGATCTTACTGTCAGGCATCAAAGATCAGGTCCACATGTAAAGGTCCAATTAATCTGATTTATGACTACTCAGGCCTACGCACCGCAATCTTCTCAACTAATAGCTAGTACCTGCTTGGAATTAGGTAGGGGTCAACAAAATTCAAGGGGGGTTGCCCTTAGTTTGCTTGTAGCTACATAGAGATTCTAGACTCGCCCCTCTTTTAACTCCATCCCCAGTTCTGCCACTCCTTCCACTATACTTACATAGATAACAGAATTATTTTTCTCCTTTTTTATGATGGTTAACTTTTATCGCATTAAAACATATATATATATATGGGGAGGCTCTGGAGACTACACCCAAGGCTCCAAAGAATAGGGTTTATTTATGTGCTCCCTGATGTAGTTTTTCTACCCAATACCACAAGACAAAACCCCAAGACAAAAATCTACTGATTATAAGTGTTTTGCGATTAAGGAAATAATTCAGAAAGAAGACGGGAAGAAGAGAGAACCACAAAATCTCCAGAGATAACAATGACCAAAGCAGACCATCAGTCAGATATATCGGGACTTCTCGAACAAAAGCAACTGAATGCATCGTACACAGTTTCAGCCACACAGACAACCACCTGCGACAGCAACTTAGCCAATTTTTTTTTTCAAGCAACAACTACTTACTGTATCCCATTCCCTGGATGAAGTATTTGAAAGCTTCAGCAAGCTTGGCAGGCTGTAAAAAGGAAACGCAGCATGAATGTAATTATCACCTGTGATTAAATATTTCCAAAAAAGGAGATTTGGACAAAGAGTAGTCAAAACAAAAGACCTCAGATCCAATGAATGCGTTTAGAACTGTGGAAGAAATTGCCAGCTTAAATATCTCTGCAACCCAACACTAACACCTATGGTGAAGTCACCTTGGTACGGTTACATATTTCACAGTCTGGTTAGTTAGTTAGTTGGTTATTTACTTACTTCCTGCCTTTATTATTTTTACAAATAACTTAAGGTAATAAATATACCTAGCACAATTTTTTCCTCCTATTTTCCCCCCACAATAACAACCCCGTGAGGTGAGTTGGGCCTGGCTGAGGAATTCTGGGAGTTGAAGTCCACAAGTCATAAAAGGGCCACGTTTGAAGACCCCTGGACTAGAACGCAGTTTTCTAGTCAGCTACCTTAACCACTAGATCAAAATGGCTGCTCTCAATTCTACCTATGGAGTTTTGCTTCCCAACACAGATGGTAAGTATAAATAAATGGATCTGGTTTGCAATAGACCAAATCTTGTGAAATTCTCTTCAGTACTCATTATTTCCGGTCGCCCCAAATCAATTCTCACCTGAGAAACCTGAGGAAGACCACCACAGTCAGCCATCTGCAAAAGAAAAAATAATCAGCAATGTTTTAATTTTTTAAAAAATCCTACTTTCTCAACAATACCCGTTTACTTGCCCTGACTTCAAAACCATCTATATAGGAAGAACAGATTTTATCAATGGATGTGAGAAGCAAAAAGATTTCTGGATACATCACAGAGACGTTAAAGAGATGTTTCTGTTTAAAGGTGGGGATGTATTTTTACCCTTCTGGCGATAATGTTCAGTCAGAAATCTGTTCAGAAGAATTTTAAGGAGGGTTTTCTAACCAAAGTAATATTCCATTTTAGCTGGAGATTCCTAATGCCTGCTGGTAAAGGGGTAGAGAAGATACTTATTTTCCAAATGGAATAATTAGTAATAATAGCTAGGAGGTCTTAACCCACACTTTGTTCATAGCATATAACGGGATCTTCAAACGTGGCCCTTTTATGACTTGTGGACTTCAACTCCCAGAATTCCTCAGCCAGGCACACTGGCTGAGGAATTCTGGGAGGTGAAGTCCATAAGTCATAAAAGGGCCAAGTTTGAAGACCCCTGGCATATAATGTCCTTCAGATATGCTGACCTTCAACTCCCAGAATTCCATTCAGTTGTTTGGGAATTCTGGGAATTTACAGGCAAATACATCTGTACTGGTAGGCACCAAATTAGGGAGGCTACTCTCTACCACAGTTCTGCTGAATGAATATCCCTTGTTTCTTTTTTTGTTTTAGTCTCCATTTCTTTGTGAGAATGGGCAAGTTACTAGCTGAAAAGGCATAAATTAACTAAATGAATGATGACTGGATTCACTATGCAAAGTTTGGAGTTAAAGCATTTGACGGGTCTGTACGGTTTGAGGGAAAACTCGGGACAAAACCAATTGTTGACAAATTGTTATCAAATTTCCAGAACGGAACTATAACTCTGAAGGTTCTGCCATCCTTCAGATCCATCAGCATGTTTTTGATTCATCGCCCAACTTCTAAACGAAACAAACCGTTTGCATTGGTGGGAAAAATCTGAAAGAACTTTCCACCCGCCCAATGGACCGTCGTTCTGTCCCCCTTTGCCAGATCAGGAATATAGGAAAAATTGTTAATTCTGTTCCAAATGGCACCCCGTCATCACCAGTACGAAATGGACCCCTCCATCCGCTCAAAGACTAAATATAGAACGAGGAATGTGAACAAATGGCTCGAGTTCCAGAAAGATCCGTCTGGCAGTACCCAGAATGCCTGAAGTAACCTCTCATCCCCAGAACCTTCTTAAGTGTTTACTGTATTAAGCTTGATACAGATCAATCGTATACGGTAGGCTATGAAATGGTGCATGTTTACCGTGTGAACCTGCACGCTTCCCTCCTAGCAGGATTAAAATCTATTACGGGATAAATTTCTAAACATAGTAGTCGCGTTACCTTCTGACCCCCTAATTACATTTAAGAGCCCTAATGCCTGTGCAAAAATGTAGGTCAGTGATTCTGCAGTCAAGGAGAAGGGAGACTTCCATACGTCTAGCCTCCAGCTTCCCGCCTCTCCTTGATTTCACTACCATTTTCTAGTTTATCTCCAAACCAGTTGCACTGCTCTAAGTACTAATGCCTGGATCAAAACACTCTAGTCCGGGAGTGGCCAACCTTGGCCACTTCAAGACCCGTGGACTTCAACTCCCAGAATTCCCCAGCCAGCCATGCTGGCTGGGGAATTCTAGGAGTTGAAGTCCACGGGTCTTCAAGTGGTCAAGGTTGGGCATGCCTGCTTCTAGTCCTTTTCACAACAATTTGAACTCTTTCTTACAAATCCCAAGGAGCTCTGCCTTGGGCCCAGTGGTGGGATTCAAATATGCGAACAACCAGTTCTCTGTGTGGATGCCACTTCCGGAAGTCCATTCTGGGCCTGGGCCACAAAAAATTAGCTACCAGTTCTACCAAGCCGGTGCGAACCGGCTGAATCCCACCACTGCTTGGACTCCAGTGGTTACCTTTAGAAGCGTAGTCTTTGTTGGGTCAAGTTTAGCGTTGCAGTCCACCTGTGAGGAAAAGGGACAGAGAGAAGGAAAGAGAAGCTGAGCTTTCACATCACACTTTCAGAAAAACCTCTTGTATGCAGCTTTACTTGCTTTAAGGCTAAGTCCCAACTAGCGAAGGAATTCCATTAGAAGTAGTCTCCAACTTCCAGCCGTTCATTTGGTGACTGTTTGAAGTCACAACCAGTTCTCGCACCGATGACCGGCCGCAGTGTCCCCCACGATGACCATTCTGATTTGGGGTGCTCGGCAACTATCACACATTTATCACGCGATGACCGTTTGTGAGCTCAGCCAGCTCCGAACCAAGCAAAATCAATGAGGAAGCCAGGAGGAGATAGCAATCTGCAATTACGTGGTGTTTCACTTAATGACGGCACCACTTAACAACGAATCGTCCGATCTCTATTATGGCGGTAAGTCAAGAACTACCTGTAGAAGATTTTCGGAAGTCACTAGTGAAATTCTGGATGCTTAAAAAGAATATCACTGGATATTCCGTTATTTTTTTCTGATGCTCCACTGCTTCTTAACAGGCAGGAACAGGAATTCTGTTTTCCTGTTTTTCACAAATCTAGCTTAAGGTTGCAAAAGTTCAAAGCTGGCAGCGGCTCCCATTAACTCTCCTTTGCTCTCCCCATTTTACTTCTTTGCTGACATTCAAAAACAGGGCTTCTGAAATTATGCCGTAAACCCCATGTAGCCTGAGGACCACAAGTTATCTATCTACCCCAGGTTTCGGGACTGTCAGCTACAAAAGGAATGTAATCCCTGTCCTTGTCTCTCACCAGCTGCCAGGATGCTTTCATTTCGATTCCCGCTTGAACAGACGACTGGATTTAATATCCAAATGACCCACTTCCAAACCTGTGCTATTCTTTAGATCGGGAGAGAAACTCTCATTGTTGACTACAGGTACTGCTTTTTATCCCTGTAAGAACTAAATTGCCTAGTTGGAATTTTTCACTGAAAACGTGATGCAAGTAGATAAGGCTGTGATTAAGTATTAAGGATCTTGATAATGATCTAGATCTATTATTTTTAAGTCCTCCATTTGAAATGACATAAATACTTCTTGCCTACTCCTTTCCATGCGTTGGCTACTTCCTCACAAGTTGTTGTAAAAAGTTCCTTCTCATAGCGCATGCCTAGTGGTTAGAACCTTAGTCCAAGAACAGATAAACCTGATCAATCCCTCACTTAGCCATGAAGCTTAATGAGTAGCTTCAATTAAATCATTACTCTTCGGTCTAACCTGATTTGACTGAAATGGGTCAGGAATACAATTGTTGGAATTATTTTCAAGGTGCCAGCTTGAAATGGCTCGTCTCAACCTATCTCAGAAAATTAGAAAGATATGATGGCAATCAACTCAAAGAATTGATCTATCTTCGCCCAGGATCCAGAATTCCAGGTGAGAAAGCAGTCATACTGGCTGTTATTTAATATTTTATATCTAAGCCTTGGGAACTGGTACATTATTAGACTTGGGTTATCAGTCCTAGATAAACTGCTAATTTCCAAAATTTGTTTCCCCCCCCCCATCTCTTAGTAACTTTAATGGACTGTTAGGGACCTTATTTCAAATCCTGGAGGGCAGAAGTCAAAATAAACAAGATGCGATCCTTAAAGAGAAATACCGAATGATGCTGCATGCTCAAGAGAAAACTGGGGTTTCATTCATTCATATTCTGCCTTTCCTATTATGTACGTACCACAGCGTCAACTGCAGGAGAGCTGTCTCCAACCACCAACAGTGCAGGGCACCTGAAAATACACACAATTAAAATAGTCATTTCATAATGCTCAATGGCTTTGCACTTCTTTAAGGAAGTGATTCTAACTGTATCAGAAAAAAAACGAAGTTGTTGGTTGAGCAAATCAGACTCAAGGTGTTGGCTTGTTGACTAAATAAACCCATTAATTTTCGTAAAAACCTAAACACAGCCAAACTGTTGCAGTCTACTGAAAACCGTCAAAAGTTTATTTAGGAGAATATGAGTAATGCCGGATTTTTTCCCCCACCCCCCAAATACATAAAGGCAATTTCAAAAGTGATGATTATGCTAGCTTTAATGTTTGCACTTTTTAGCCCAAACAGCGATATAACATAAATACTTCTATCACTGCAGTAGCTCTTACTGCCTTGCTCCCTGGTTGCTGCTATGATAGGCTAAAAATATTTTCATTTTCACCATAACAAAACCGAATGTACGGTTGGAAATCTAATTTAGAGACTCGGGGACCACACGGTTGAGCTTCCTGCTCCCATTTCTATTCAAGGATCAGTTTCTTCTGCAATCACTAATTCTTGGCTTCTACCATTTACCGTTTTTTGTCTTTTTGGCGAGTATCTTAAGAGTTAGTGTTGACTCCTGGTGATTGCCTGGACAGATCCCTGGGGCCTTCTTGGCAAAGTTTTTGAGGAGTGGTTTGCCCTTGCAATCCAACCCTCCTTCCTAGGGCTGAGAGGCAGTGACTGGCCCAAGATCACCTTCTGTAGTAGTAGTAGTAGTAGTAGTAGTAGTAGTAGTAGTAGTAGTAGTAGTAGTAGTAATAATAATAATAATAATAATAATAATAATAATAATAATAATAGAGTTGGAAGGGACCTGGGAGGTCATCTAGTCCAACCCCCTGCTCAGGCAGGAAACCCTACACCATTTTGGACAAATGGCTGTCCAGTCTCTTCTTAAAAATCTCCAGTGTTGGAGCATTCACCGCTTCTGGAGGCAGGTTGTTCCACTGGTTAATTGTTCTCACTGTCAGGAAGTTTCTCCTTAGTTCTAGGTTGCTTCTCTCCTTGATTAGTTTCCACCCATTGCTTCTTGTCAAATCAAAATCAAAATCAAATCAAATGATAGCATTAAGGCAGGATGGTGAGCAGAAGGTAACTTTAGCAAAAGGGATGGTCCCTAGATTGAGAAGCCAAGCTGATTGTTTTAAAGGCCAAGGAAGTCCAAATAGATTCCTTCAACTCTGAAAAATTAGTCCTAGATAAAAAAGGACATCACCATCATCATCATAAAGTTGGAAGGGACCTTGGAGATCATCTAGTCCAACTCCCTGCTCAGGCAGTAAACCCTATACCAGTGGTTCTCAACCTTTTTAATGCCGCGACCCCCAACCGGTCGTACGTCGAGGACTAAACCGGTCGTAAGTCGAGGACTAAACTGGTCGTAAGTCGAGGACTACCCAACCGGTCGTAAGTCGAGGACTTTCCCTGCCCGGGAGTGCCGCGCATGCGTGGTTCCGCCCCCTGCGCCGGCCGAGGCGTAGCTGGCAAGCGGCAGACAGAGCAGGCCGACCACCAACTGGCCCAGCCCAAGGGAGGTAAGGCACCCACCGGAAAAGGGGGAAAAAATGGCGGACAAAAAAAATGGCGGACAGCCTTGCTTGGCGACCCCTGTGAAATGGTCGATCGACCCCAAATGGGGTCGCGACCCATAGGTTGAGAACCGCTGCCCTATACCATTTCGGACAAATGGCTGTCCAGTCTCTTCTTAAAAACTTCCAGTGTCGGAGCATTCACCGCTTCTGGAGGCAGGTTGTTCCACTGGTTAATTGTTCTAACTGTCAGGAAGTTTCTCCTTAGTTCTAGGTTGCTTCTCTCCTTGGTTAGTTTCCATCCGTAGCTTCTTGTCCTGCCTTCAGGCGCTTTGGAGAATAGCTTGACTCCCTCTTCTTTGGGGCAGCCCCTGAGATATTGGAAGGCTGCTATCATGTCCCCCCTCGTCCTCCTCTTCATTAAACTAAACATACCCAATTCCTGAAACAGTTCTTCCTATAGTTTATACATTCTTCGTATGTTTTAGCCTCCAGTCCCCCTAATCATCTTTGTTGCTCTTCTCTGCACTCTTTCTAGAGTCTCAACATCTTTTTTACATCATGGTGACCAAAACTGGATGCAGTGGACCACGATTTATTTCTTAAATTGGTATGGTCCAAATTTCAGTAGAAACTGGGAAGGTGGTTTTATAATAATCTTCATCAAAGCTTCAGTAAGGCCACAATGCAGACTGCAGACTGACTCCAAGAAGGGGTCAGACAATCTTTCTACATTGGGGCAAAAGATAACCCTTATTGTCATTTTTTTTCCTGTGGGAACACAATGGCACACATTAAAAAAAATGAAATTTAGTTGCCTCCTCTCAAAGTGTACACATACAGAACACACATTTAAAACATACTAATAGACTGCACTTAGTACCATGTTCTTAGCATTGGCCTTCATCAACTGAGGCTGACTTTTGGCAAGGTCAACTATTAACTTCCATCAAGCTTACTTTAGCTAGGGCTGTTAAGCCACCCTTTTGGTGAGCCAGCATCCCCCGCCCTTTGTGTTTTGCAATGTTGTTGGCATCACCGGGATTTTTACCCTTTGCAGAAAGAAGGCCAAGAAAATTCTATATCCCCTTTTCTAACCCAACATTTAAAAGGCAGATTGTAACAAAAACTTACTGCAGAGTAACAACATTTACTCCTGGAGCCGGACGTTCAATGTCTAGATCTCTTCGGCTATAAAACAGACAGGAAACAATTGTAAGAGGTTATTACACATGCGACTTTTAAAGTCCATTTCCCCCCGAAAGTAGGAAGAAGTCATCAATATGAGAGTTGTGGCTAATGTGTATTCCCAACTAAACGAGTAGATGATTAGAGGACTGCTAATCTGGCACTCTAGCTTTCAATTAAATTTTGAGTACAGGTAGTCCTTGACTTACAACAGCTGACCGTTCGAAATTAAGATGGCATTGAAAAAAATGACTTATAACCGTTTTTCATACTTATGACTGTTACATAAGTTTAAATGTCAAGTGGGAATCCCAAGCTTACAGCTAAGCTTCTCATAGGAGCTGTGAAGAAGGATCTCCAAAACAATCTGGGATCCTGTTACCGATTCCCCCCTGAATAGCCAACAGCAAATATTTTCCTATGCGTTTTGAAAAGCTCGCTGGCCTATTACCTGTTGTAAGAGTTGACAAATAGATGGAGATTGTTCTGGTTCATGTCACCGATGATGTGCTGGCGGTAAGTATGGATCAAATCGTGGCTGCTATGAATCTCCTCCTAGATTTCATGTAGGCATGGATATAAGGTTAGGGAGTGAATTTGTAACAACCACCTAATCAAGGAACCACAATGTACACTCCCACCAATACTGACAGGGCAAGTCACCTGTATATCAACAGAGAGCAAACCCCACTCCTTTCTAGCATTGAGGGTGTTACCTAGTTGGCTAATGAAATGCCTGCAAGGAAACAACCAAGTTCAGAGAGCACCAAGGACCCCGCAGTCGTCATTGTCCTCCTCCTCTTCCTCCTTTCTTCCTTTTCTTTCCCATCCTCTCCTCCTTTCTTCCTCTTCCCCTCCTCCTCTTTCTTCTTCTACTTCCCCTTCCCCTCCTCCTCCACAAAGCCCACTCCTTTCCACCACTGCTGGTGTTACCCAGTCAGGTAATGAAATGCCTGCAAGAAAAAAAAGCCAAAACCTGCCCATTTTTTTCGGTGTCTTCACACAGGAGAGAGAGAGAAAGACAGACAGAGAGAGACAGAGAGGCAGAGAGAGAGAGAGAGACACAGAGACAGAGACACAGAGAGAGACACACAGAGAGAGACACAGAGAGAGAGAGAGAGAGAGAGAGAGAGAGAGAGAGAGAGAGAGAGAGAGAGAGAGAGAGAGAGAGAGAGAGATTGGGCCTAACCAAATAAGATAAAAAAAATAACAGGAAAACGTAAAATAATTCTTCTATTGCAGGGGTCTTCAAACGTGGCCCTTTTATGACTTGTGGAAGTTCAACTCACAGAATTCCTCAGCTAGCGTGGCACGCTGGCTGAGGAATTCTGGGAGTTGAAGTCCACAAGTCATAAAAGGGCCACGTTTGAAGACCCCTGCTCTATTGTATAGCTAGCACACCTTGGCTACAATCAGTTATTAGTATCCTGAGCAATAAGATGAAGGTTGAGTTTTATATTTTAATATGACTGTTCAAGAAGTAGGCTTACCTTGGCAAAGAGATGTGAAATGACCATCTCTGGTAAAGCATGAGCCCATCCAGAAATCTAGACATTGTTTTGTTTTGTTTTGTTTTTTAAAAAGAAGCACATTAGGATAATTTAAATATTCCATCGATCATGTATCATTACCTAAGTCATGTAATACACTGACATTCAATTATATACTTCAAGAACTACATTTCCTTCCCTCATTAAATATATCATCCTGAAAGGATACACTGGCCTCTTATATTGTATGAATTCCTCATTCTAGAGTTTCAACGGATGAAGAAATGTTAAAAACAATAACTTGGCTATGAGTCCCAAATAAACCCAAATATTTATTTCTGCAATCCCTGTACGTCTAAGCATACCTTGATCTGTTTTTAAGGTTAGTTTAAACAAATGAGGTTTTTACCTTGGTTGCGGCCCAGTCCATCCATCCTTCGGCGCATGGATTGACATTGATAAGGACGAGTCCTTCCACCATATCAGGATAGTTAAGCTGCAGATGGAAGAGGCACATGAGCAAACAGCCAGATGCAGAGACAGAAGCAACCTAGAACTGAGAGAAGCAACCTAGAGCTAAGGAGAAATTTCCTGACAGTTAGAACAATTAATCATGGAACGACTTGCCTCCAGAAGTTGTGAATGCTCCAACACTGGAAGTTTTTAAGAGGTTGTTTGAAATGGTATAGGGTTTCCTGCTTGAGCAGGGGGTTGGACTAGGAGACCTCCAAGGTCCCTTCCGAGTAGAGTAGAGTAGAGTAGAGTAGAGTAGAGTAGAGTAGAGTAGAGTAGAGTAGAGTAGAGTAGAAGCTGGAAGGGACTTTAGAGGTCTTCTAGTCCAGCCCCCTGCTTGAGCAGGAGAACCTATATCATCTCAGACAAGTGGATGTCAGGTCTCTTCTTAAAAACCTCCAGTGATGGAGCGCCCACGATTTCTGGAGGCAAACTGTTCCACTGGTTGATTGTCCTCACTGTCAGGAAATTTCTCCTTAGTTCCAGGTTGCTTCTCTCTTTGGTTAGTTAGTTTCCAACCGTTGTTTCTCGTCCTTCCATCTGGTGCTTTGGTGAACAATGTGACCCCCCTCTGCTGTTGTTATTATTATTATTGGAAGAGAGGTAAAACATGGGAATTTTTTTTGAGGAAGAGGATTTCCTCCACATATCATCATTCTGAAGATTTGTTGGAAGTGGACATTTGTTAAATAGATACACCCAGTAAACACCTTATTTGAAGATAATTTTAAGGTCTTCCAGGGCAAACAACATGCCGCGTGCAGAGGGTCTGTTTAAGGAGTTCTGAACTCTTGCACATCGGAGCAGTATTGTCACCTGAATGATACAAATTGGGTTCTTCTGTTGTGGTGGGGAGTAAATAAGAAATTGTCAAGCGCTGGAAATCAGGAGTCCAGGCAGTTCAATTGAATATATAGGTTTATTGTATGCTAAAGCTTTTTACAAGAAACTGAATTACTAATAGTAGTAGTAGTAGCAGCAGCAAACTAGTGGCAGATAAAATTCAATGGAATTCAAAGAGGGCTGGACTTAGATCTGTTGTGAGCACAAAGGGATTTAAGACTAATGATGCATTTGACCCCTCCCTCAAGCTCAGCCTGGTCATCTCCTACAGAAATATTGTGAAATATTTCCACTCTATGCTTTGGCTGCTCAAATCTCAGCCATTTCTTGGTGAGGAAGAAGTTACGTCACATTTTGATTTTTGTTTGACACTAGATGTCCGCTACTCAATTAAAATTGAGCATATCAGAAGATGTGAAGCTGAAAACAGTGTCCTGTACTCAAGTTTATAGTACCGTAGTTACACAAAATGTGCAACTAGAAGGGAAGCAGACCCACCCCCCATTCCCAACTTACAGCGAATCGTGTTAAAATGTAGGCCCCAGCTCCAGTTCCCATTCCGATCACGCTTTTCAGTCTAAAATACAAAAACAAAATCCAGCAAGTTAGAAATAAAATTATGGATATTCTATTTCATATTCAATATGCATCCCAGTTGCTCCATGTCCATTTAGAACAGAATGGAGGTCATTTGGACAAGGTAGCCCCATCCAACTATTTCCATTCCCTCAACAAACAGGCAAGCAAAAAGCAAACAAAAATTGCCACAGCAGTAGCCCTTAAAGATGGCATGAAGATTTAAGAGTTGACCTCATGCTCTAGATATGTCAGGGTAAATAGTTCAGTCTTAGCTCCCATCCACAAAGCAAATATTTGCTTTAATCGTATTGACTAGTTTAATAATTAGCTCTGTAGGTTTTAGACTTCTTCATACAAGAACAGATTTGGCACAACTCACTTAGATGCAGAAAGGAGGCGACTAAGTAGCGCAGCAAACATTTAAGTGAAATTGAGTTTTATTTATATTGAAATTTAAACGAAACATATTGCTTAATAACCAGTCAACCTTTTAATTCAGAAACCTTCCACAGAATCCACAGAGGGAGTAAATTTAGATATTTCTCTACTAGTGCAGAGGTCCCCAACCTTTTGGGCACCAGGGACCGGTTCCGTGGAGAGGGGTTTTTCCATGGACCGGAAGGTGTGTGGTTTTGTGTGCTGCCTGCATCCCGTGGATAGGGCTTTGCTTGTTTGTGCGGACCGATTGCTGACATGCTGCGGACCGGTACTGGTCCACGGACCGGGAGTTGGGGACCCCTGTACTAATGGACTCATAACAAAATAAAATATGGTTTTGGGATGTGGCAGATGGAACTTCAAGAACCTGCTTCTAAAAGCAGAACGTTCAACACATCTATTATTACTATATCTGTCAGATGTGGAGGTTTTCTTTTTTCAATTAACCAGCGCAACCAGAGAGATGTGGAATCCTTCAACCATGAGTGCTCCAAAATACAAAGGATTCTAAAACCTCTCCACTTCTAATAACCATCAGAGAAAACAAGACAGATAGGTGACAGTTTTCTTAGATGTTCTGGGGATGTTGTGAAGGAACAGGAAAATGGTTTCCCTGAAGCTTGACTGAAAAACTTGAAGTGTCTATTAGCAGACAATTCTACTCACCCAAATTGTTTCAGGACTCCAGGGAGCATTTCAGACAGTTGATCCATGGAAGGATACATGTACCTATAAAACAAATGTTAGAAGGACATCATTTGTTTTCTAAAGCATGAAAATTGTTGTACTCGTTCTATTTCATTCTGGGTTGGGTCATCTCAAACCTAGCTCCTCACTTAAGAAGGATTCAGGGAAAGTGGAACAGGTTCAAATGAGGGTGGCAACAACAACAAACCAAGCAGTAGAAACTCAGACCAGCAAAGATAGTTTGAAGGAACTGGGTTTGTTTAGCCTTGAAGAAAGATAACTAGGAGGGAACTGTGGCACATTACAAATCCTTTAAAGCAGGGGTCTTCAAACTTGGCCCTTTTATGACTTGTGGACTTCAACTTCCAGAATTCCTCAGCCAGTGTGCCTGGCTGAGGAATTCTGGGAGTTGAAGTCCACAAGTCATAAAAGGGCCATGTTTGAAGACCCCTGCTTTAAAGGATGCCACATCAAAAAGGGGAGTTTTTCCAACATTCTTAAATTGCAGCATTCCAATATTAGGTTCAAGTTATAGGAAGGCAGAACTTCCTAACAGTAAAACCAGTCTGAGATCAGACATGACTAACCAAAGAGGTGGTTAGTTTCCACTTACTGGATTTATACAAGAGATGGTTAGACTACCCAAACAGGAGCTTGGACTTGATGACCTTGAAGGCTCCTTACAATTCTAGCCACATTCCCATAACCATTAACATTACGGTACCAATTACTAAACAAGCCCATATTTATTTATTTATTTATCACTAACTTCTATGCCACCCTTCTCCCCACGGGACTCAGGGCGGCTCACAGCATGTTAAAAAACAACACAAAAAACATTTCCCCTATAAAACCAATTAAAAACCAAATATATTAATGGCTGTGTCATTATTAAAATCTTTAAAAATTATTCCCTATTTAAAATTCACCCTAGGTCAGTCCCGCTTGTTGAAAAAGCCATGTCTTGAGGGCGCGGCG